GGTGTCTGTGTCGTGTCAGGTTCCTACGTCTGTTCTAGTCGCTGCGTCGTGCTCCTGCCGGTCGCTTGCCCACCCCACCGTTCTGTGGCACCACCGGATGGGGCACCCGTCCCTTCCACGTCTGCGCGCTATGTCTAGTCAGCGTCTTGTCCTAGGCCTCCCACGTGTCTTGCCGTCGCTGCCGCCTTCGCCTGCGCCGCCGTGTCGTCCCTGCGTCGAGGGTAGGCTGCGCGCCACCCCTCACTCCTCCTCCCTTCGTCCGGCCACCGAGCCTTTTGAGACGCTTCACTTGGACGTCTGGGGCCCAGCCCCTCGTCTAGGCCCTGAGCGTGAGCGTTACTTTCTGGTGGTAGTTGACGACTTCTCCCGCTACACCACAGTGTTCCCTCTGGCGAAGAAGTCTGAGGTGACTTCTACGCTGATCAGGTGGTTGCTCACCACTGAGGACACTCGTGGTCGTCGTGTCAGCTGTCTCCACTCCGACCGTGGGGGTGAGTTTCGCTCCGGCATTCTCGCTGGATTCTGTCGCGAGCAGGGCATTCGTCAGTCCTGGACGCTTCCGGAGTCCCCACAGCAGAATGGGATTGCTGAGCGCCGCATAGGCCTGGTCATGGAGATCGCCCGCACCTCCCTGACTCACGCCTGTGCCCCCCATTTTCTGTGGCCCTACGCGGTCAGGTACGCCGCGCACCAGCTGAACCTCTGGCCACGTGTCTCTCGACCAGAGGTTTCACCGACCAGTCTTTGGACAGGGTCCCCTGGTGTTGCGTCGCGGTTTCGTGTCTGGGGGTGCTTGGCTCTTGTCCGCGACACCTCCGCGGACAAGCTCTCGCCTCGTGCCGTCCCCTGTGTCTTCCTTGGTTTCCCTGAGGACTCCTCTGACTTCACCTTTTACCACCCTCCCTCTCACCGGTTCTTTGACTCCCGTGACGTCCGTTTCGAGGAGTCCACTCCGTACTACGTCAGGTACCCCAGTCGAGGTCTCCCGGTTCCTCCTCCCCCCCTCTTCCTGACTGCCGTTCCCCCTCCTGCTCCCCCGGTACAGCCTCCCCCCCCTGGTCCAGCCCCGTCAGGTGTGTCCCAGGCTACCCCTCCTCCTTCGGTAGCCCCTCCGGTACAGCCTCCCTCCCCACAGTCCTCCTCGCAGCGTGCCGCTGGTGCTAGCTCTCGAGAGGTTGGTGCGACGCCTGTTCCTGTACCGGTTTCTGGTTCTGGGGGTGCTGGAGTTAGAGCTGGAGTTGGAGCTGGAGTTGGCACTGGAGTTTCTGGTTCTGGGGGTGCTGGAGTTGGAGCTGGGGTTGGAGCTGGAGTTTCTGGTTCTGGAGTTGGAGCTGACCCGGTAGGTGCAGAGGACTCTTGTCGTCCGGGAGCTGGTGCTGGCCGCGCGGACACTGGGGGTGCTGCGTCTGGGGGTGAGGGTGCGCCTCCTTCGGGTTCAGGTGAGCCTGGTTCTGGAGCTGGTGTTAGTGCTGCCTCTGGGGGTGGTGCGCCTAGTTCTTCTGAGGTGGACTCTGGAGCTGCCGCTGCTTCGGACACTACTCCACCCCCCCACCCCTACCCGACTAGGCACCAGGCTCGTGTTCGCCGTGCCCGTGACGAGCAGCTGGCGTTGGAGAGAGAGGAGAGGGAGTTACAGCGGCTGGAGGAGCAGCAGCAGCAGCTGGAGCCGCAGGAGCAGCAGCAGCAGCAGCAGCAGCTGGACCCGCAGGAGCAGCAGTCCCAGCAGCAGCCGCGTCCGCAGCAGCAGCAGTCGCAGCCGCAGCAGCAGCAGCCACTTCCTCCTCCTGTCTCGGGTCTTCGGATCCTTGGTCTCCCCTCCCCTTCTCCTCCCTCCTCCGCCTCTCCTCCTGTCTACGGTCCCACGTTTCCTCCTCCTGACTCCTCCCCCGCTGTTTTCCCCAGTTCTCCGCCTTTGTCCTCTCCTCCTCCGTCTCGTTCTTGGGCTACTCGTCGCTCCCCTCGTGCTCGTCCCTCGTCTCCTGTTCCCTTCACTGACCTTCGTACTGCCTTCCTTCTTTCTAGTCCACCTCGTCCGTCTCAGTCTGTGCTTCCGTCTCCTCCTGAGTCGGCCCTCACTGTGTCGCTCCCTACTCCTGTCACTGACTACTACCGCACGTACCGTCCTGTTCTCTCTCGTGTTCTCGCCTCTCTTGTTACTCACCCTCGTGCCTCTGTGTCCTCTGTGTCCGCTCTTACTGCCGCAGTTACTGACTTTGCCTCTACCCGCCGCCTTGACTACGCCACCACGCTTGTGGCTGCTCCTCCTACCAGTCCTCTGGCCGTCGGGGGTGTGTCTGCCCTTGGCTGTGACGCCCTAGAGGACAGGCAGTTTGAGCTAGAGTTCCTGGCGGCCGCTTCCCCTCATCTCTGTGCCATGCTCCTCGCCCCTGAGGGTGACCCCGACGCCCTTAACATTCCGACTCCTCGCACTTACGCTGAGGCAGTGTCAGGGCCTTGGGCCTCTCAGTGGAGAGCTGCCATGGACGCAGAGATGGCCTCCTACACATCCACAGGCACCTACGTCGATGAGGTTCCCCCCCCTGGGGCGAACGTAGTCGACGGCATGTGGATCTACAGGGTGAAGCGGCCACCGGGATCTCCCCCGGTCTTCAAGGCGCGCTACGTGGCTAGAGGTTTCAGTCAGCGCGAGGGAGTTGACTTCTTTCAGACCTTCGCACCTACCCCGAAGATGACCACTCTTCGGGTGTTACTACACGTAGCAGCACAGAGAGACTACGAGTTACACTCTCTTGACTTCTCCACTGCTTTCCTTCAGGGCAGCCTACACGAGGAGGTCTGGTTGCGTCGTCCCTCGGCCTTCACTGGCACCTTCCCTCCTGGGACCCAGTGGAGGCTGAGGCGACCTGTTTACGGTCTTCGCCAGGCCCCTCGTGAGTGGCACGACACTCTGCGTTCTACCCTCTCTGACCTTGGGTTCCAGCCGTCTTCTGCCGACCCGTCGTTGTTCGTTCGTCGTGGCTCCACACCGTTCTTTGTTCTGGTCTACGTCGACGACCTCGTTTTCGCCACTTCGGACAGGGTTGCTTTGGCAGACGTGAAGTCCGAACTGCAGAAGAGACACACGTGCACTGATCTTGGTGAGCTGCGCCACTACCTTGGCCTGCAGATCACCAGGGACAGAGCCGCTCGCACCATTACACTCTCACAGTCACACATGGTGCAACAGGTCCTTCAGCGGTTCGGGCTTCAGCACTCCACCGTACAGCGCACACCTCTAGCTGTTGACCACAGACTCACTGGTCCCTTTCTTGACGAGCCGTTTGAGCCTAGTGGTCCCTACGCAGAGCTTGTGGGTTGCCTCATGTACCTGATGACTTGTACTCGCCCGGACCTCGCCTTCCCTCTCAGCATCCTTGCGCGCTTTGTTGCGCCAGGGAGACACCGTCCTGTTCACTGGATGGCAGCTGTGAGGGTGGCGAAGTACCTAGCGACTACATCAGGCGTGGGGCTAGTTCTTGGAGGGCAGCAGTCTGTCGTACTCACTGGTCACTGTGACTCCTCTTACGCTGACGACGCTGAGACTCACAGGTCTACTCAGGGGTACTGTTTCAGTCTGGGTTCTGGAGCTGTTTCCTGGCGTTCCACGCGCTCCTCTTCTGTCTCGACCTCTACAGCTGAGGCTGAGATTTACGCTGGTGCCATGGCGGCACAGGAGTTGCGTTGGTTGACCTTCTTGCTCGCCGACCTTGGTGAGCGGCCGAGCTCTGCACCGACCTTGTTTACTGACAACAAGGCGTCGATCCTCCTCTGTCGTGAGCCGCGACTGGAGAGCAGAGTGAAGCACATTCACGTCAGGTACTTTCTTCTGCGAGAGTTGCAGAGGCGTGGACAGGCTCGCTTCGAGTTTGTAGAGTCCGAGGCCAACACTGCAGACATCTTCACCAAGGCGCCTCCGCCTTGTGACCACCAGAGATGTTGTGTGCAGTTAGGCCTTGTTGACACAGGTTCTAGTCATGCGTAGACTTGAGTTTATTGCCTGCTTCGTCTGTACACTTACTATATATACTTGTGATCTCTTGGACTGGCCTTGTGGCCACTGTTGCTTGTGCTCAGAGTGTGTGGTGACGTTGTGATCCACCCTGAGCTTTGTTTTCTTTTGGACTGGTCTTGTGACCGTACTCTTTTTTGTTTTTGCTAGACACCCCTCACTTAGGCTATGGGGGTGTGTCAAATGTTGTAGCCTGTAGTGAGGTTTGTCTTAGGGGGTACAGAAGTTAGGGTTTGTCATATGTACACCAACCAACATCAATGCAACATCCATTCCTCATTCTGACACTTAAGAACACTACTCTGTGAGTGTATACAAAATTCCAGGGTTCGCTAAAGTACTACTCTGACAAGATCAGTGTTCAGAAGACGTTAAACCTGAAATTACAGGGACCAGAATGTGACAAGTCTGAAATCACCCTGAAATCAGGGTAATTACCCTGATAAAATCAGCCCTGCTTAGGATCTTCCCAGGGGTGAACTCTGGGTAGAGTTGGTGTAGTAGCAGAAGCGTTAATAAAGAGTTGTGAACCACCTTGCGCTAGTGTGTGAGGGCAAAGTAAATTGATTAAAGCAAAGAGATACATGATTATATAAGAGTACAAATGATACGAAGAGATACGGTTATAACTACTTCACTATTGCTGTTGCGGTTCGATACAGTGACGACTCGGGCAACTGCTCTGTAGCGAGTCAGTTGTGTGTCCTTGCTGTCGCACTGTACTTGTCAGGTCAAAGGTCGCTAACCTTTGACTTTCGCGTAACCTTCAGCGGTTACTTCAACCTCCGAGGGTTGACTCGCTGGTGCCTCGATATGCTTTGCTTCGCTTGTGCCTTAGAGTTTCGACACAACTGAGGAGCTTAGGACCGATTGTTTCCAACAGATACAATCTACTTACACCTTTGGGAGGAACTAACTGTACAGGTATTATTTTACAATCAAGCAGACAGTAGGCTGCTTGAGAGGCTACCCTGCCCGCACAGCAGAGCATTTACACTGGGCAGCTGCCAAACAGTGAGACGAGGAGCTCGGCTCCAAGCACCACATCGTCTTCATCCACTTTATTCCCAAGCTGCTGCTCCTCATGCCGCAGACAAACTTTCTTCCCAACATGCATCGGCTCATCGCACACTTCACCCTCCTCTGGCCCTTCTCCTACTGGGCTGCCGCAGTCACTGTTGCTGCTGGTGGCAGCAGATGGAAGGCCTTCACAGCATGACGACGGCGCGTAAACGATGAGACCAGCACGTGGGCGTGGAAGCCGGGAGCGCGCTTTGTGTACCGGCGATTGAGGCAGAGGCTTGGAGAAGGCCGGGTCGGCGGAGTCGTATTCTCGCAGCATTGCTGCTTCCTGGGGGGATGCCTTGCGCTTTCCACTGCGGATCTTGTTGAATCGAATGCCGCATGCATTGCACAGTGACTGCAGAAACGAAGAGAGAAAGTACATAAGACGGAAAATTAGCAAGTGATGCCATCCAGATTTTAAAATGTCAACATATTTATCAGAATATTTGAATGTCTACACCTCATGCGAAAAAAGGGATGATGAGATTACCTTGGGTCCGGGAGGCCCATTTCTCCACAAGGGCGTTTTCGATGTGCCACAGTGCGCGCAGGTCTTCGCGATTCCATTACTCAGCGTCGCAGCCGCATCGTCCCCTTCGCACGAGTCCCAACGGTCGGGCAATTCGTCGCCGTCAGTCACCTCCTCTCGCATCATCTCAGGCACGTAACCTGGTTTCCGGGCATCCTTCTGCTGATAAAGCGGCTGCATCTGCTGCTGATGACGATCCTGTTGGTGCTGCTGTCTGTGCGAGTCATGCAATTTCGATGCATTCACGACGATCGACTCTTTGTTCACATCCGGTACTGACATCCGGCTAACGGCCTTATGACGAAGGCTGTGGGGGAGAGAGGACCTAGGAGCGGGGGACCGTGGGCCAGAAATGGCATAAGTAGGGACGGCGGCAGGGTGTGTGCGAGCGGCTGTCGCGGTGGCGAAACCGTGCGACGCGTCTGCGACGTCATCGCGAACGAAAAACATGTTGACGCCGTGGGAGGCGACAGGTTTGGAGCCGTCGCTCGTCGCGGGAGTCGCAGGGGCTTGAGAGGAATCCTGTAGGAAATTACGCAGAGTGAACAAAGGATCATGATTATTGAGGCATCACGAGAAGAAGAAAGATACAAAAAGAAATAAAAGCACTCGACGACGTAAGTTCTTGTAGGGATTTCTCATTGCTCGAGTTACAGTAACGTTACTAGGGATTGTCTGCGACTTTACCTGTGACGTCGAGTCATAGAGAGCAGAAGGCGGGTGGTTGATGTCAATCATCGGTTGAGAGGACTTCCGTTGTGCGGAGAACGCGAAAACGTCGCTTGCTCCGTCGCTTCCCCCGTCGCATTGAAATGTCGCATGCGCCTCACGGACACAGCCCCCATCAGCCGACATCCCGTGTCGCGCATGCGAGCCGTAGTCCCTCGCGTCCTCCGTAAAGACATGGACGCTAATTGGACGATGGGAAATCACGGGAGCAACGGAAATCGCGGAAATGGACGGCGGATACGACGAATCGCAAGGCGCTTCGACCAGGGGGCGGGAAAGTAAGTGACGGAAGCTCATGGAAGAAGAAACGAGCGCTGGAGGTCCGGAATCCGAGGATTCCATCGAAGGGAATGACTCGAGAGCAGGAGGCTTTTGCCCTTTCCATGGCTTCTTCATGACGTTATTATAGTTCCCGGCCATTGCGGGATGCGAATGCGAGCTCTGAACGTGCAGCATGTCGGATTTTTAGACGATTAGGGAATGAAAAATAGATCAACGAGAGATGGGAGAGTGATAGAACGGGTGTGCACGAGACGCGCGCCGCGGGGACTGAAGGATCGGTGGCTGGCGGGATCGACTAAGACGCGATTATCGAACCGGAAGAACCTATTCTAGAGCTGCTGGCAGGTGATTCAGTAGCTACTGCGATCAGGAATGAGAAAATGATCAAGGCAAGTGAAGGCTCGGGAAATGAAGAAACAGAAGAAGGGTCTTGAAAGGATAAGGTTGGTTTGATCGGGCGCGCCTAGGTGAGGCGAGAGGGGCAGAGAGGAGGGGGAATCGGGATGTCTGCTGCAGCATTGCCCAATGAACGAGCTCGGCTGTTCAATGCCCCCGAGAGGACCGATTTCTGCCTTCGTGCTTTCCAGCCTCTATGGCTTGCTGGCGAATTGCTGGTTTGCTGGCTATCACAGTACACTTTTGTTTCGCCTATTTGACAGCCTGCAAGGTAAAATCATGCTTCGGTGTCTTTACCGCAACTTTCATGTTTGCCGAGTGGATCATCACTAGTATTTCATCTGGGTCACAAGTCAGCAGCACGAACATGCTATAATTCGCGAAACTCATTCGAGACTGTCTCTGACATGTAGATTATTGGCACAAGTGTATCGAATATCCGGTGGTTTTTTTCCTTCAAGAGCAACTTCGGTTCATATCCAAGGTCCTTTCTGCCTGCCGCAGCAGACTACTGTGACACCCCATTCCAGTCTGCTGTGCTGTGAGCTAGTCAGCCTCACCTGAGAGTGACTCAGCATTCCGGCATTGATGCGGCGTGACTCGCTGATTCATGCTGACATAGACCAATCGGCCAATCGTAAACACCGGCATCACCAGACCAGATCAGGGTCCAGGTTTGGCTAGAACCATCTGATTTTGGATCGAAACGGACGGAACGGAAGTGACGTGGGAGGGATGCCCTGCCCTGCCTGTCTGACAGGAAATTAACTGCATATTGGTTCTGTACAAAGGAAACCATTGCGGATCAAAGAAAGGATTGTGTACAGAAGGGTTTCACGTGCCCAGACGAGGGAGCCATTTCAGATTGTCCTGTCTGTCCTCAATTCAGTACAAACACTTCGCGGAGAAAAGTCCGAATTCTCCTAAAAATGTTGAGTACACGCAGGGCAGGAGGAAACAAAATCCTTTTTGAGGCGGATCAAACTACGTGGGTTCAAGAACGGTCACGGCACTACACGTAGAAGGGAGAAACGAGGACAGCATTCCAATATCTCTTAGGATATGTATGGCGCAGTGTTGTGAATGGTCAAGGCTCTGATATTCGGCCAGGACATGATATTCGGAGCTGGTTGGGGAGGGGCAGAGTGGGTGTAAATAGCTGTGCAAAAAGGTAAGGGGATGTGGAGGTGTGTCAAGAAAAGGGGGGAGGGTGGGACAGTGCACGAGGAGGGAGGGATGGAGGGGGACTTGTGCGCATGCACTCGCTCAATGCAACTGTTGTAGCGCAACACCGAAACTGGCTTCGCCGCGCGCGAACCCAAGCGTGGAGAAATAACCTGTGTTATCAGGGTATTGGAATGCATTTCACTACAAATATGGGGCAATTCTTGGTTCAGCAACATGTCAGGATCCTCTTCGGTCGGCGTGTTGCAATTTGCGGTGCACTGCATCGGCTCGGCTCGTGGCGCGGGTTTAGGGAGGCTCCAGGAAAGCAGGATGCCGTAAAAGGTTTACAGAAAACGCGCGAAAACATTCAATGTCCTAATAGAACCTTGGCAAATGACTAAAAATATCACTATCCTGAAGCATTTCTTTCCCGAATCAGTGGCCGAGTTTGGCTTCCCGCCAGCCGGGAGCCTTCCAAAATATCGAGCCGGTGCAGTGCACCGGCAATTACGACACGCCGTTATGAGGGAAAATAGCCAGCGTCCATTTTTCGAACAAAAAACAAATTACCGCACTTTCGCAAGAATCATTCAGGAACTGAAAACAAAATTGGAGACCGCAAGCCCAATGGCGATGGACAAAAGTCTGACCTGATGCGATTACTGTACGAGGCAATGCAAGCAAAACATCTCAATTCTTGAATGTCCCACCCACACGCACACGAACACCTGACGACTACGTCGACGTGATCGAGGAATGCTTGTTCATTCGACGGCTGTGATGTGTACGTACGCACAGAACACTTCACCACCACCGTACGACTGATTTGAAACGATCGGTCTGTTCTGAGGGAAACGTCTGACGAATCTGATGGCCGACCTGAGGAATGGTGGACTAGCTTCGAGGGGCCTTGACAGTAACGTAGGGCAGGCTCTGTACGAGCTCCATGCTTGCTTTATCGGTCCTGTACACCTGATCAGAATGACGATGCCCGGCCCGTCCCCCCCAAAAAACATCCACATTTTCAAGGACGAGCTTTGTATGCCGCGTGACCAGCGACTGTGGCATGCACATCATCGAGGTGGCAAAAATCCTGCATCTCTGTTGACGCAATCATGAGTTCGAGTGGCCCGCACCTGGTCTTGCACGGAAGGCAGGCTGGATGACGACATTACCTTACCCAATGAACCAAACTCATCCATATTCTCTCTCTAATTGGTCCGTGAAACAGCTTGAAGGGATGCCTGGCTGGCAGATACAAGGATATCATTCGTCGTGAATTTACGCCATCATCTCTTCGGTTGTACTCTGACTACGATCGTTCTTGTGCCTACGTGGACCCATGTGGCCAGAACGACTTGGACGTCTCCCAGCCACATCTGCGAGTTTGCATCCATGCAGCTTGGGCTTGAGATTCCCGTTTCATCAGACTCAGTTCACCCAGAATGTTCTCGTTAAACCATAAATTATGGATTACAGTGAGGATATCATATGGATATATTGTTATGCGTGCAAGAGTGGACCAGAAATCAGATGCCTCACCAAACAGGCTAGTTTCCCATTAGATTACAATTGAAAGGGAATGTTCCATAGTTTATACTCTCAAGAAATCAGGCTGAAGGTACCTATCTTATTTCACATTTACATGAACCTGAGCACTAATATGTACACAATATTTACATTGGACTGCTGTCAAAAAGTGAGACAAGCAGCTCAGCTCCAAGCACCACATCGTCTTCATCCTCTCTCTTCGCCTGTTGCTCCTTACCAAGCAGCAGGCATGCTTCCTCTTCTACCTGCTTTCTCCTGAAGCCCCCACACACTTCACTTACCTCTGACCCTCCTGTTCCTGGACTGGCTTCATTTAGGTCCACAAGGGAAGGAATATAGCACCTACCCTCACCTACTGCTGTGGCTCCAGTGCAGGAGAATCGTCTTGCTCCCTGGATGCTCAAGCAACTCACTCCCGTGCTATCAGCTTCCCCGGTGCGGTCCCCTTGTGCACCCAAGGGAGTGGTAGGAGGAGACGCCTTGCGCTGCTTCTTAAACGGGCGATATTTTTCCAGGTACACGTCGGATGCAACCGCTGTCATAGCAGCACCAAGAGCAGGAGCAGCCACAGCAGGGGCAAAAGAGGTAGTTTTATGGGACGAGGCGACCGACAGGGAATGCTGAGTGGCAGAAATTCCTGCTGGGGCAGGAAGGCCGTGGCAGAAATTGTTCGGAAGCATGGCAAGCCGAGACCGTGGGCTGCCATCCTCACTGTCACAGTCACTGTTGCTGCTAGCGACACCAGCCGTGATGGCTCCAGTGAAAGACACAAAGTTGTCACCAAGTGGTCCAGCAGGAGCGCGAGGTAGCTTGGTTCGTGCTTTCTGCACGGGTGACTGGGGCAGAGGCTTGGAGAAAGCCGGGTTGACGGTCTCGTATTCCCGCAGCATCGCCGCTTCTTGGGGGGAGGCCTTGCGCTTGCCGCTGCGGATTTTGTTGAACCGAATTCCACACGCATTGCACAGTGACTGCAGCCAAGGAGAGTGGGAGAAAGAGGAGCAAAAATTAGCACAATCCACGACCGCAATAGGATGACGCCATTGTCGACAAAAAATGCATGGAAACTGACAAGTTAGCAAGAAAGAAGGGATGACGTGATTACCTTGGGTCCGGGAGGGCCGTTTCTCCAGAGAGGCGTTTTAGACGTGCCACAGTGCGCGCAGGTCTTCGCAATTCCATCATTATGAGTCGTAGCAGCGTCGTCTCTCTCGCTGTAATCCCAATAGTCGGGCGACTCGTCACCTCCTCCAGTCATCTCCACTGGCGGAACGATAGTTTTCTGGCTGTGCTTCTGCTGACAAAGCTGCTGCATCTGCTGATTAAGAACATTTTGTTGAGGACGATTCTGATTCTGCTGCTGCTGGCTGTGAATTGCGGGTGAATCAGGTGATGTCCCAACGGCCAACTCATTCACGTCCGGACCTGACACCCGGCTCGTGGCTTTATGACGAAAGCTGCGGGGGAGGGCGGGCTTAGGAGCGGGAGACTGCGGGCCGGAAACGGCGTTAGTAGGCTCGTAGTTTGTTGCCATTCGCTCGAACGACTGCCAACGATTCGCGATGTCGCTGGCGTGCGGGCATTCCAGTGGTTGATTTGCAACGGCTCGTTGAAGGGAAATAGGTTGCTGACGACTCGCGAACGACGGGACGCGAGCAGGGTGTGTGCGAGCGGCTGTCGAGGTGGCGAGACCGTGCGACGCGTCTGCGATGTCTTCGCGATCGCAAAACATGTTGACGCCCTGACAGACGACGGGTCTCGAGCCGTCGCTCGTTGCGGGAGTCGCAGGGGCTTGGGACGATTCCTGTAACAATCACGGAAAATGTAGAGAAGACCATTCGTGAAAATCAGGACATAGATTCAAAATCAGAGGACAAATGCAAAGAAAAGCATAGATGCTAAGGCGCAAGTTTCCTGATTCACAAGAGTGAAATCGAATTAATAGGGGGTAAAGGGGATGCTATTACGCTAGTAGCGGTCTTACCTGTGACGCAGACTCGAAGAGCGAAGAAGGCGGGTGGTTGATGTCGATCATAGGTCGCGGAGACTTCGGTTGCGCGGAACACGCGAAAGCGTCGCGTGCCCCGTCGCAATTTCCGACAAATGTCGCATGCGAGCCGTACTCATGCGTCGAATCTTCCGTGAAGAGTTGGACGCGAGACCGAACGTACGGCGCTTTGACCAAATCGGCGGAAAGAAGGTGACCGAAGCTCATCATGGGAGCGACGAGGGGTGGAAGCCCGGAATTCGAGGACTCAAGCGAGGGGAAGTGCTCGAGAGGGTGAGGCTTGTGGCGTATGCATGGCTTTTGCATCATGTGGTGGTGGTTCTTGGTCATCGCCTGATGCGAATGCGCGCTCGAAATGTACAGCATGTTGAATTTCAAGCTGGGTAGGAGATCGCGGAGAGAAAGCGAGAGAAATGGAACTCGATTGTGCAGACGCGCTTCGCAGCGGAAGCTTTGCGGATTCAAGGGAACAGGCGAGAGATAGTAGGAGCGATAGCCGTTGGGATTGGCGATGGTTTCAACAGCAGGAGATAATGCTTCTGGAACGGGTTTCTAAGAAGAGGGTCCGAGAATGAAGCAGATCGCAATGGATCTTGCCTCTTGAACTGATAAGGTGGGACTGATACTGATCTGATCACAGGAGGAATGATCAACCTCAGACGTTGAAGTCTCTCCTTCCTGCAGGAGCAGCCAATGGCGTGTCTATTCGAATGGCGAGGGGGCGCTTTTGCTTTCAAGCATTCTGGCGTTCTAGAACGTAGCAATGTAGCAACCGTAAAAGGCTACACGTAGTTCTCGTAGAGTCTGACCCAGTAGGTGCTCTATTTCGTCCTTGTATTTACCCAACTTTTTTCAGTGTCGGGCTGGATAGCCGAGTTGGTACTGCTACTCGTTCGCGGTCTGATTGTTAGACACAAGCAGACAGGCAAAGTAACTTTTCCGTTTCGCAACTGCCCAGATATGGGAGCTAGCGAAACCGTTGCTTATATTCGTCCAAAGTGCTGTGCATCGGGAGGTTTCTTTAGTGCATCGTCACTGTTGAATCCGACGAGGAACAAGCTACAACTTGCGATTCCGTCAGCTTTATATGCTACAATAACGAAATCAAAGTGCAAAAAATGGACGCCTCAGTTCTGCTGCAACAGTTGAGGTCCTTTATTTCTGCCTGGGCAGACTCTCGTCCATGACACGGAATCGCAGTCTGCTCCGCTTCGAGTCGGTCAGCCTGGCCGGAGTGTGACTGGGCATCTCCACATCCATACGATGCGATGCGAGAATGGAGGATCCATGCTGACGTGCAAAAACCAATCGAGCAATCGCAAGCGCCGACATCCAGGCTCAGCTTCCAAGTTTGGAGAGATGCTTCTGGTTCTGGTTCGAGTCTAGACTAGACTAAAAAGGGGGATGCATGGCTGCCTGACCGCCAGTCACGGATGGACCAAATGCTTTTTCGTAACGGGATGTCGCGCATGTGGCAACAGTCATGCAAAGGCCCCGAGCCCCAGCGCATGAGTTACTGTACCGACATTTCCGTCACGAAGGCGCCAACTTTTTGAACCTGGATGTCGATTGTTATCAGGAGGGCGGGGGTGCGGGAGATGAGAATCAGGGAGAAAGCTTGACGAGCGCACTGGATGCCAGGCTGGGGAAAGGGAGGGGGTTCGGGGTTGGCGGAGCACAGGAAGATGGGTTGAACTGCATGTGGACCAAGGCTTTGGTTCATCCGATGAGAGAGGCTCTCTCCTCCACATCTTGTTTCTGTTGCTCTGCCGCTGACGCATGCACAAACTAAACTGAAGTTTCAACGGATTCCTCCTGCACCCACACCAGTGATGCATAGGGGGTGACGCAGAACATCTGTCATGTCGCACAGACTCGTCGCAACCTTCATCCTGTATCGGCGACGGGGGGGATCAAGCTGTGTTGAGTGTCAATGGCTGCGATGAAATTATCGGCTGATCCAACCAATCAGCTTGCGGACAGTTTCGGCAGCCGCCTTGATCATTTTTGGACAAATGCGGAGGTCTTTCGCGGCAGCAAGCAGATCCATTGGCTAAATCTCCGCATGGGTGCGTGTACACTACCTGATCACAAGGGGTTTCGCCCTTTCCACCAATAAAAAATCGTCCTTCACCTGTCGATTAGCAAGGACCAGCGTGGCATGTCACGACCAAGGCATCTGAAATGAATGATTTTCATCGAGCTGGCGAAATTCAGCCAGGCTGTGGTTTGACGACATCATTGTGGCCAGTGGTCAACACCTGTAACAGCAGGCTGTGTGACGTCTTTCCAAATCAAACGGACCAACCAATGCACACAAGTGCAGGTGAGTGGAGAGGAGGTGGAGAGGAGGTGCAGTGGAGGGAGTGAATGTGTTCGTCGGAGGGAGGGAAAGATGGGATGGGGGATCAACTGGCGCGATTGTGATCAGTGTTGTCGTCCGCTCGTCACCCTTTTTGTTGCTCGGCAGCACCAGCAAGGTTGCCTTGTGTACACTGTATGCATGCGCAACATCACAACAGTAAACCACATGTTATTGTTGAGACATTTATAGGGTTAATTATTCGCGAGTGACCCTTTTCCAGAATCAGTAGGTGCGAAGGAGCAAGACGGAAACAGGCGAATCCCCTTCTACTGGACAGCATGGATTAATGCTGAATTTGCATGATCGGGGCAAATACCCTTACGAGATGGCTCACAACGACGATCAGGTTCGACGGAACCGTTGGGCGGGAGTAATGTAGACTGGCGCCTATACTCCTGATGCCTGTTTGAGCCCCTCCCGGTTGCCTTGTGAAGGGGGCATATAAGCTGTATCGAGGCATTTCGCTAAGTTTCGTCAATTTGTAGCTAGCTAAAAAGGATTCGCATGTGCTTATATACAACATCTGTTACCATATTTGACTTCAGTCTATTCTGCTTGACTTCGGTCAGTTCGTTACTATTGGTTGATAACCACGCGACGCGCTTGTAATGTAGGTGCATGAGGCTGGGGAAACAACCTCGGGTGCAGCGTATCCATCCGGCGCAAGGCAAATTCGCGTGCATGGGGTGAGCATCAGGTGTACTTGCGCCTCCACTTGTGGACAAATCTCGAGCTTGTTTATTGGTTGGACTCCTCTGCTGGAATGCTGCAAGCTGCACAATCCCTCCCGAATTCCGATCACGAGGGCAGAGGCCTTTCCACCAATGGAGCTCCTCTATCCCTATGTGCTCGACAACGACAGCACCGTAACAAAGGGGAGTTAGAGGCAGCCTCCAATATGAGTGCATTCGGAGAGCAGTCAGCTTCGTGGTTTGACGCCATCATTACCGCCAGTGGTGCTCACGGAAAGCTGGAGCCAAGCAACGAAGTGTGACGCCATTCTCTAAGGACGCGGTGCAGATAGGGTAATCGATCGCCTCAGATCGTCCGATCGGGTCGGATCGGATCAGATTGCATGACATTGCCCCGATCTGAGGCAATCTGTGGATTGCGTCCCGAGCCGCGAGATCAGACGATGAATTTGGGGGAAGTAAGTAGAAATCAGCTGCAAGGGCTCTGTGCTATTCACACGTTCCTTCCCTGCAGAGTTGGCGACACCTAGCGAAATTTTAAATCGCGGATTCACAACGTAGCCCCTTTTGGGGGGCAGGCGTGTCTGGAAAGTTCTGATATCGCGATATCCAATGGTCCTGTTAAAATTTTCGGCAGGAGGGGTTATCGTTCCCAGCTGTCGCCAAACCCCGCAATCTGAGGCAATCTGTTGATTGCAATCGATCGCAAGAGATTGCGTCAGACCAAGGCGATTGATCGCAATCGATCGGATTTCCTATCGCAATAGATAGATTTTTCCCGATTGCATGCGATTGCCTCAAAATACACCTACGACTTCTTAGAAATAGCGGATTGCCTCAATCTGACGCAGTCGCACTCAGATCGGGCCGATCTGCACCGCATCCTAAGCCCAACAATCCAACCCCATTCGTTATGTTTTGTTTTGTTTGTGTGTGTGTTTTTTTTTTTTTTTTTTTAGATATAAATATACTACATGTATACATGCATCCGCAGTCGTAACTAGAGCTAGGAGGGTGTCGAGAAAGCAAATAGAGTAGTAACCCCACCCTCCTCCTCCCCTCTATGGTGGCTGGAAGGCAACTCCCTGGTCTTCCCACAATATACTGAAACTCGCTCGCCACGTCATTGAGGCCTCCGACTCGAACAGCCTCGGCATGACAATCGCCTCGTCAGCTTCCACGTGGCACCAATCCCCCTTGGCATTCGTCCCTTTACTGTGTGCCGCCCGTTTCCAAGCCAGACTGTATATCTTCACATGCCTTGTGAAGCCAACCGCAATTCGCCGCCATGCTCTTTTTGGCTAGAATCGGCTGCCTCTGAATATTGCGTTCTACCTCTCCAACCAAACTTGGTGCGTAGTGGTTGAAATCAGAGCTGCTTCTGGAAATCCCGTCGACGTGCAGCCATCATGGAAAAGCATGTCGCCGAGGGATTTCACTTCCCTGCTTGGGTTCATCTACTGTATTGTCGGGTAGCTGTGCTGACAGTGGTGTCATGCTTATATGAGTTAGCCTGTGTAGGCTATAGTGGGGTAGCACATATGGGGTACAACACATTTCTAGGGTTTGTACTTGTACCCAACTCTCCCTTAGTCATTCTCATTCCTCGTTTCTTATCATGGTATCGAGCAGGTTCCCTAGTGGGAACGCTTCCTAGGGCCCACCACGATATTTTTTTTTCCTGCCCGGAGTGCGCTTCGCTCCTGCCCGAGTCGCGCCCCATGGGCCCTCCCTACCGC